GCATACACATTTGGTTGTAACCATCACCAAAATCGACAGCAAAGATTCTTCCTTTTCATCTTGCAAAATTGCAACTACTGTGCCCATTAATGAAGGTCAGCAACCACCTCTTGGTTAACTATTCTGAGTCTTTCTGAGAATTTGCATACTGTGCATTCCTCATAAGTGGAGTCATATGGTATTTGTTATTAGCATAGTACCTCAAGGTTTACTGACATTGTAGCCTCTGTCAGACCATTTTGAGGCTGAATACTATTTTATGTACAGACCACACCTTTTTATCTACTCAATTGTCAGGTTATACCTGTTTTGTTTCCATGTTTTGGCTCCTGTGAGTAATCTGCTAAGAACAAAGGTATGCATATGTCTAATCAGGTCTCTGCTTTCAATTTCAGTTATATGTCCAGCATAGACTGGCTGAGTCATCTAGTAATGATAGGCTTAAACTTTTGAGAGAGAGTCATATTACTTTCCATACTTGCTGCACCATTTTACCTCCTTTCCAATTGTACACAATCCTTTCAGATTCTCCACATCTTTGCCAACAGTTGTTAGTTTTTAATTTGCTTGCTTGGTGGGATTCTAATAAGTACAAGATAGTGTTTCATTGTGTTGCTTTTGCTTGTCTTCTTTACTTGGTTTTGGTAGTGCTGGGGATACAACCTAGGGCAAGCTAAGCATTCTTTCACTGAAGTACACGCCACATCATGGTGGCTGTGGTTTGCATTTCCTTTATGATCATTGATGTATAAATAATATTTTAAATGCTTATTAATAATAATATTTTAAATGCTTATATGTTTTCTTTGGAAAATTTTCATTCTAGTTTTTTTTTTGTAATTCATACTCTTAGATTTTGCTATGAGAATTCCCTACTCCAGATTTATTTGCTGAAGCCCTAACCCTCATTTGATTGTATTTAAAGGTCAGATGTCTGGGAAGTAATTAGGTCATGAAGGTCAAATCCTCAATTACCAATGGGATTAGTAACTCTGTTACTTTTCTCATCACATTGACAAAATACTTGACAGAATAACTCTAGGGAAAAGCATTTATTTTAGTTCAAGGTTTCAAAAGTTTCAGTCTACTGTGGTGGGGTGGTAGGGTGGTGGGGAGGGGGATGGGCTGGGGGGAGGTGGAGTTGCTCAACTCATGGCAGCCAGGAAGCAGGGGGAGCCAGCCCAGGAAGGGGCCAGGGCAAGATATACCATGGGAGGACATTCCTCAGTGATCTACTTCTTCCAACTAGACCTCGCCTTCCACAGTTCTACCACCTCCTAACAGCCTATTCAAGCTCTGAATCCATTAGTGCATTAAGCCATGAGTTAGGTCAGATTCCTCCCAATCTAATGGTTTCTGGAAACTCCCTCACAGACACTCCCTGAGTTGTGCATCAATAATCTCTTAGGCATTTCTCAGTCCAATAAAGAAGACAATTAAGGGCAGTGGTTTACAGTATTGCTAGGAAGTATGTCAAGATGACTGATGGGTGGAGATAACAGAACTTGATGGTATCTTCAGTAGACAATTGTGCAGTAGAATGGGCATGTGCTTTTCTGCATAATGTCACATGGCTTTGTGATAATAGCTGATGTAAGTATAGGACAAATCTACTCCCTTTTCCTGACTCATGCCTGGATCACTAGGTGAATCAGAAACACGTAACACCAACATGTTTTGACTATAAGAGAGTATTTAAATATACAAAACCTTTTGTAAATTCTAAGAGGAAATTGTAAGCACACATAAGGTTTCTATAGAGCCACACAGACATTTATTGCCCGTTTGATAAAATCTGCAGGCATCACTTAAACTATTTAATGTTCAAGGTTAAAAACACCTCATTCCTGGTTTTCTGTAATAAAGGAAGAAATCAATAGCAGAAATATATTTAATATATTTCCTATTTCACAGTGAAATAGGAAGTATTGAGGATGGCTTCAGAATGGCTGAGAAAATCAAATAGAACATTATAAACCTGAAATTATGACATAAGCTTAATGCTTTTCTTACTGGTAAACTCAAATTCTGTAAACCTAGATAAGATTGGACAAAAAAATAAAACTTCAAGCTCACTAAGTTAAAAAAAAGGACAGCAAAACATAAAGAAGTAGCCAGAAACCAACTGATGATAACCAAACACCCAGATGATACATTAGAATAGGGGTGTGGATTGTTTTGTCTGTTGATCTGTTTTTTTTTGTTTTTGCAATGGATAAACATTATTTTATTTCAATGATCTGTGTGATCACAGAAGCCACTATGCTTTTATGCTATATGTAGACCCCAGAGGTGAGTGGTATCTCTTAGTCTCCTGGCCTGGAGACCCTCTTCAAGGCACTGTGCTCGCCTGGTATTAGACCTATGGCTCTGCATGGTCAACCAGGCTCCCCTTGCAGCCATGTGTGCATTCAGCTTGTGGCTGTGTTCCACAAGAATCCACACGGTTTTGAGCATATTGCTATTCACCTCCAGGAATAGGCTCCGACTGGCAGTAAATCTGAGACAGACCAGAGGGAGTTCCTGGGATGAGGGTTCGGTCTGGTGAAGCATTGTTAAACCTAGTTTAACACCGTTAAATCTTAAGCACTGTTAAATGCTGTTGAGAATGTTAGATTTGTGTTGAGTTTTCTTTAAGTTTTTATAAGGGCCCGATAGGGTTTTCCCCCCTTTCCTCTCTACTTCCATGACTTAATGAAACCACAGACAGTGGCCCTTCTGGGTTTTGAGTGACAGTGGACAGTCCTTCCCTCACACTTGGCAGTGTGAAGCAGAGCTTCCACTCAGCATCCCTTCTCTGGCAACTATCTGGACCGTCCTTTCAGCAGTCCAGGTGTTTGGGAAACTACAGTCACTCCAAGAACACTACACCAATGGAAGCCACAAGGTTTGCCTCAGCAAGTCCTGTTCCAGTTAACATAGCTCCAGACAACCAGTACCTTGCGCCTTGGAAGGCAGCTCCTCAGTCATTTGTCTTGGTGAACTTTAGACGGACCTTGAGCTATTCTTCTTCCAGGTGGCAGGGGAAGTAACTTATAGAACCTCAGCAAGAAGCCAGTGATTGGTGCAATGGGAATTTGGGATTGAGGCAAGGCTTGTGATTGGTGGAACTAGAATCTGTACTGTGATTGGTGCCAATATGATTGTTCATTTGTATTCTACCTTGTTGCCATCTCCTCTTTCTCTGGTAGAAAACCAGACAGGTCAGCTTACTTGAGTCACCTGGGAGATATCCCTGTGAATTACTATCTGGTGTACCAACCTTAGGTCCAATAAAAGGCTTCTTTCTTTCATACCTGTGATTGCTGTGAAGGTGTCAAGCATGGTGAACTGGTAGAAGGCACAGGAGATGGCAGCAGTGGCGGAGGTGGCCTGTAGTAGCCCTGGAAGTAATGGCCATGAGAAACTCGCTGATTCCACTGGACTCACTAGGGTCCAACTGGACTCCTTTCTCCACTGTGGGAGGAATGCAGTCTAGATTGCAGTTTGGCTGGGCAGGTTTAGGGATAGGCTAGTCCTCCTCCTTCTCTCCAGTTTCCCGCGGTATCTCCCACTACAGACAGCCAAACAGAAGTCCAATTGCCCAGGAGCCGAGAAGGGTACATTCTCTTCATCAGGATGCTCAGCGGCCCTGGAGGTGGACCAGCCATTGGCCGGCCAAATGAAGAATAACCAGCCAGCTACTCCCACCCCCCGCTTCCTCCTTTCTTCCTCTGAGAAGTAAACTTGCCACATTGAGTGTCTCACCTTCTCTGCATCTCACACACTTCCTTTGGATTTTTTTTTTCTTGGCAGCCATAAGAATTTCCTTAGTCTTCAGTTGATAAATTCCTACTTTCACTTCAAGATCTAACTCAGGTATCATTTCCACTTTCTGACACCCAAACAAAGACAGCAGGCTTCTAACAATAGGACAAAGACCGGAAGAGTAGTTCCTCAGTCTGCCTCCTTCTAGCTAATGTGCCCTCCGTGGGGGTACTGCTCCGGTTTTAAATTTCTTCTTGTGTAAATTAATCATGGGAATACCCCTTTCCCGGGGGAAATTTAAAAGATCGTCAGATAAAATGCTCTCTCAAACGCAAGTTTCCTTGTACACTTAATTTCGTTGGTCATACCAAGGCTTACGGATCTTCTCTATGGGTTAAGGTCAATCACAGAATCACCGTGCAAGATGCAAAAACCAACTTCGATGGCGTCCACCAACTAGCTCACATATTCCCGCCTGGCATCCATTCTAGCGATTCACAGCTGCTTCTTTTTCTTTCCCGATCGCGGATTTCCTCTCCCTCATCCCCCCCCCCCCCCCCGTTTTGCGCCTCGCTCCTTCGCTGTAAGGATGTAGGTAGGTACTGGGGACCCAGCGTCTGTGCGAACAGGTGGAAGGAGAAGAGACCCGCACAAAACAAAACCACAGCTGCGGGCTGTGCTGCGAAGTTCTGGAAGCTGAGCGTCCCGATTGGCCGCTAATTGATCGGGCCAGTCCCGGGGATCGGCGGCTCCCAGGGCTCGGAGCCCGCTTGACAGCCCGCGCTTGGACCCCGGAACTCCAGGGAGCCGGGCGGTGCCCAAGACTACAATTCCCGGCGCGCAAAGCGGTCTCTACTAGAGCTAGGAGCAGGTCGAGCTAAGACTACAACTCCCAGCGTGCACAGCGACCAAAGCGAGCTCTACCTGGAGTAGAGACTACAAGATCCTAGACTACAACTCCCGGCGTGCACGGCGGCTCAGCAGTCTCTACCCCTGCCACACCGTCTCATCCCTTTCGCTCTTTTTAGCAGGGATGCCGTCCCGAGAACGCGTGGCGGTGACCAGGGAGAGACCATAGACTGGTCCGGCGACCGAGGCACGAAGAGCAGTCCACGGCATGCCCTAACCCTTCCTGGTACGGCGGCTGGCTCGGGCGCTGCGGAACCTGCAGCGTCGCCGCCCGGGTTTCCGGGGGACTCCGATGGCGGCCGGACGCGGTGGCGCGGCCGTTTGATTCTCCGGTGGCGGCAACCGAGGGACGCGATGGCGCTGCCGGGGCTCATCAAGAAACTCGGTAACGGCCGGGGCTCGTCGCGGGTCCCGGGGGCCAGGCGAGCCGGCCGGTGCCCGTCCACCCCCGAGGCCCCCCGCGGGCCCGGTGTCCGCCCCGGGCGCCCGTCCGGTCCCGAGCCCCAGTCCCCGGGGCGAGCAGCCGAGGTTCCGGATAAGCGGTGCGCGCGGTTCTTTTCCGAGCTGGGCGTAGAACCGCCGGGCGCCCGCGGCCCCCGCCCGCCGTCCCAGACACGGGAGGCTGAGGTCTGAGGCCTGCGGTTCCAAGCCAGCCCGGGCAGGAAAGTGCGCGGGACTGGCGCGGTGGCTCGAGGGGTGCGGCGCGGTCCCTGAGCGCAGAAGCTTAGCCACGGCGCCCCGGCCCCGGGTCCCAGCCCCGGGTCCCAACCCTAGGCCGCATTTCCCTTGACAGGTCACCCGCTGGCGGAGATCCGGGAGCGCGCGCTCCGCAGCCTCCTCTGCAAGCTGGAGCACGGGCTCACCTGTCCCGCCGACCTCGTCCAGGAGAGGCTGCTCTTCCTCCATCTGCTGGAGTGGTTCAACTTCCCGGCTGTCCCCCTGCAAGAAGAGGTCCTCAGCCTGCTGAGCAAATTGGTGAAGGTGAGGTCGTTTCAAAAATGGGGAAAGAGACTCCGCCGTCCAGGGGATTTCAGTAGCTTCAACTGAAAGGCAAGCAACTGGGGTTGAAAAGAATCTTGCAGACCACAGACTGCGCTTTTAACTCACATATATATATATACCCATATGTATATGTATATGTATATGTATATACATATATGTATATGTATATATGGGTATATGTATATGTATATACACACATTCATATATACATAGATACATATGTACACATACATATACACACATACTGTGTGTATATATATATATATTCCGTGTCTCCTAGTGTTGACTCTCATGTTGTCTACCGTGTTCCGAAGTACAACAGAACTGAATTTTTGGTAGGGGCTGATTTCTGCAGTCATCTTTGGAAGTTAATATTCGTTACTCTGTTTTTCTCTGCATGCCAAAATTTAAATATCTATGCAATAGAACATTTAAAGGTAGTGTTACAGACAATGTTTAGTAGTCTATGTGCCAAGTCACTTTCTGTAACTTTTTTTTTAGATTCATGCTCCTATACCTACATAGTGTACTTAGTTTTCAGGGTCTAATGTCAAAAAATTAAATCATTATACACTTCATAAATACAAAAGTAGAAGTTGATAGAGTGTATTTCAGAGTTCTGTGTCTTCAGTCTGCCTTAAGCATAATCGAAATCGTTTGGTTCTAGGACACAGCAGTGAAGATTTTTCCAAACACCCCATCTAAAAAAAAAGTGATTTTAATTTTTGATTGCTGTAAAATGTAGAGCTTTTGCTTATTCTCAAGACTGCTCTCTCTTGAAAGGGACCACCAGCAGGAGGGGAGAGGGAGGACAAGAAAGGTGAATGGGTTGGTGAATATGATCAAACTCCATTATCTATATGTATGAAGGTGCCTTCCATGTCGTAATTTACACTAATTAAAAAAATAGAAACCAGCTATCATCTTATTTCAGTATCCCTCAGCAGTCCAGCATTTGACTGAACTTGGTGCCGTGGAGTTTCTATCCAAGCTTCGTCCTAATGTGGAACCAAACCTGCAGGCAGAAATTGATGGCGTCCTGGATGGGCTTTTTGTTCTTCCTTCAGAAGTTTCTGCGGTGTCCTGTGCCTCCTATGAAACCAACCATGCCGGTAACTCTGAAATCAGCTTAACGAATCCTGTTAAAATACAAGCATACTGGTGGTAATTGTGAATTTTATGGAAAAGAACATTAGTTTAGAAAACAGAACATTACTTTAGAAAAACATCACCTCTCCATACTTTTTTTTCTAGTGTTAACTTACATCTTTGATTACTGTTCCCTATCTTTTTGATCAGGCCAAAAAGATGCCAGCCAGGGGCTGGGAACGTGGCTCAGTGGTAGAGTGTTTGCCTTGCATGCATGAGTCCTTGGGTTCGATTCCTCAGCCCCACATAAACAGAAAAAGCCAGAAGTGGCGCTGTGGCTCAAGTGGGAGAGCGTTAGCCTTGAGCTGAAGAGCTGAGGGACAGCACCCAGGCCCTGAGTTCAGGCCTCATGACCGGCAAAAAAACAAAACAAAACAAAAAAAACAAACAAAAAACAAAAAGATGCCAGCCAGTCACTTTGTTTTTCCTAGTCTAATTGACAGGTTTTTTTTTTTGTTGTTGTTGTTCAAGGCCGGTGTTTTACAATTGACCCCCACCTTTAATGACAGATTATTTCTTGAATGATGCCATCACAGTTTTACTAAGCATTAATTATTAGGTATCAGCCATTGTTTCTGGTGCTTTATTTGTACATTTTTGGACCTTGATCTCCATATTGAGGTATAAATGATATGTGTCCAAGCTCATGGTTTTGTTATGTAAACTAATGAAATTACATAATGCAGTTTTGTAGGCAATACTCCAAAATATTAGTTAAGGTCAAAGATAAGTAGATTTAAGTTCCTATTCTCCTGTTATTTGTGGGACCTTGGCTCTTCTGTAAGCTTCAGATTTCCTACCTGAAAATTAGGCTCAGAAAGAACATCCCTCTTAAATTGATGTGAAATTTCATTAAGCATAAGGTTAGCTGTTGTTGAGTATTCTTTGGTATTTAATCTTAGCACACAATAGTGCACACAAAAGGCATTTGGATTGTTTTGAAGGCAAAATGTTGTGATTTATGTGATTGAGTAGTAAGAATATTTGAACTGTTTTTGATTGCTTAATTTGTTAGACCACTTATTTCTCTAGACCACTGCAGTCCTCCTCCTGTATCAACTGTTGATGCTGTTGACATTTATTTAATTTTACTGTGGCTCAAGTGAATGAATTGATTTAAACAAAGCCTCTTAATGACTCTTAAAACAGTGCTGTCCCTCTGTCTCTGTCTCTCTTGTTTTTGTTTTGAAATAACATCTTACTGTGAAGCTCTGGTTCTCCTTACATCCTCCTGTTTCAGACTCCCAAATCCTGGGATTATAGTTGTGTAGCACCATACCTGGTTTATAAAGTAAGAACCTAAGTTGTGTTTTTCTCCAATCTAATATCTTGCAAATGAAATTAGAGGAATGGTCTGGGGATAATTTTTAGGTATCTGTAATAATAGTAGGAATTACTGACAAGAAAACTGCAAACATAGTGTAAAATTTAGTTTTAGCCTTTTCTTCATTTTTATTGCACGTGATGTGCTATCACATGTGATAGGAAATTTCAGAGGTGTTGAAAGCTAATAATGAACACTTCTTTTTTGTAGGGGGTGGGATCACATGGGGCTTGCAGTGTAGGGCATCATATTTGCTGGACAAACTCTAGCATTGAGGTATACCCCTGCTCAGCATCACCTTAGCTTTGTTTTGGCAGCTTGTTTTTGAAAAGGACATTAATGAAAACAAATTATTAAGAGCTATAAAATTACAGTAGAAGAGGGGGAGGGAGGGAGACTTAAGCATAGGTGGCTTGTCTTTAAATATTTTGTAGCAGATTCCTCAGATACATTGTAGATATTCATTCCAATAAATAATCGTGGTTTTTTTTTTTTTTTTGTTTGTTTTTTGGGTCCGGTCGTGGGGCCTGAACTCTGGGCCTGGGTGCTGTCCCTCAGCTCTTCAGCTCAAGGCTAGCACTCTACCACTTGAGCCACAGCACCACTTCCGGCTTTTTTCTTTTTGCTTATGTGGTGCGGAGCAATCGAACCCAGGGCCTCGGGCATGCAAGGCAAGTGCTCTACTACTGAGCCACTTTCCCAGCCCAAACACATAATTTCTTTTTTTCTTTTCTTTTTTTGTCAGTTGTGGGAGCTGAACTCTGGGCCTGGATGCTGTCCCTCAGTTCTTCAGCTCAAGTCTAGCGCCCTACCACTTGAGCCACAGTACCACTTAAATAATTGTATTTTTATAAGAAAGACTGGTCAGGGAAAAACCCTGGACCTTTTTAATTTTTTTAGTTTTAAAAATGGTTAAAAAATGACATTGTCCCAAGAGCCAAAAAAAAAAAGGGAATTGAAAAAGTTAGAAAAAATGGTTAAAATGTTTAAGAGGAAACATTTTTATCTAAAAAGACTAATTTTCAGTTTTACCAAGTAAATTAAATTAGTTACAAATGCACAGAAGGTTATTTTTGTTTTGTCTTCTCAGAATTGCTCCAGCAACCTGAAATCTTAACAGGAGGATATTTTCCCCAAGACAAAAGTAACCTCCAGCAGATGGACATGCCTCCTCGGTCTGTGGGTGTGTATGCATATCATTGTAAGCCCCACCCACCCGGTAGATTAGAAGTACATCTAACCCTGTTGCCTGGTGGCTCATGCCTGTAATCCTAGTTACTCAGGAGACTGAGATCTGAGGATTACTGTTGACAGCAAGCTCAGGCAGGAAAGTTCATGATATTCTCACCTCCAATAAACTACTCTTAGAAAAAGCTGCAAGTGGTGCTGTGGCTCAAGTGGTAGAGCACTGGTCTTGAGCACAGAGGTTCAGAGATAGAGCCCAGGCCCTATGCTCAAATTCCTGAATTGGCCGGGGGGGGGGGAAGGGGGGGGAATCTGTTGATGAAAGTGTTTTAGCACCGAACTAAATGTTTCAAATGCTCTGAATGTTAGTGTAGGCTATAGAACCTAAGCAGATGAGGGTATTAGCTTCACTAGTGTTTAGTGTCTATTGAGCACAAATTATTGTCACATACAAGTAAGTGCCATGTATCATTTCTTCTCAGCTCACTAACTGGTATTGTTTACCTCAGCAGAGACCAAACATCATGTTAGCTTCATTTTTTTTTAATGTTCACTTGCTTAAATGTTAGGAAATTCTGATTTAGAGCTTTCTCCCTGGAATCTCATCTCCAGGTCTCTGTGGTATGTTTGTTTCTATTCACTTACCACTGAGGCTGAGCTTGTTATGTTTCTAGTTTACTGCTGAGGACACTGAAGCTTGGAGACATAGCCAGCATTCACTGTCTTTAACATTTTGTTCTTGCATGGTTGTGATGAAAAGGATGTGTCCAACAGAATGTCTGATGTCAGGGATTCAAGTAGGCTCAGTGTAGAAGTCCTCAATTATTAACAAGCCTTCATAGAAAATTGCAAGTTAAATAATAACATCAGAAAGAATAGAAAGCCTTGAAAATGTTAACAATACTTTACCTTTTCTTTCTGGAAATGTTATCTGCACTTAACAATTGGTGTTCATTTCAAACCATTTGACAGACATAATAATTACTGCATTTTGAAGAGCTGGTTTTATGCAAATACTACTTTTCAATAGTGTGACCTTAATTTATACAATGTAAGATATATTAAAAAATTTCGAATGAGGATAGTTTAAAACTGGGTAAATTTCTCACATTTATTTTTATTGTTTGAGCATTGACACTTGGTATCCAATCCTCTGGTCTTCAAGATATTTCTTTTTTTTTCTGCGTATGTGGTATTGAGGAATCGAACCCAGGGCCTCATGCATGCAAGGCAAGCACTCTACCACTGAGCCACCTTCCCAGCCCCGGTCTTCAAGATATTTCTGTAGAGGTTTAAACATTTAATATTTGGTAGGATATTATAACTAGATGTAGTAAAGGATTATGTTTATATCATTTAAAAATTTTCTGCAAGACAAGGTTTTCTTCAAATACCAGTTCCTTTGTGTTAGATTTAACCTAGATGCTATGGTCAACTACAGAATAAAATTAAAAGTTTAACTGAAGCTTTGGATGTTGTTCAATATTAGCATTTAATGTTTTACTGAATATTTGTGTTTCATGCTGTTCTTCTAATCTTTATTTTAATGAGTTCCATTAAGTTACAGAAAGAGAGCTTTGTTATTTGCAATGCATCTTGTGTGGAATATTTTGGGTTTTTTTGAGACTTTTAAAGAAAGCGAAGCCTCACTTGGAATATTGCAAATCCATCATCATTTCCTTCTTTGACATCTTAAGTTTTGCTATTAGCAGTAAATCAGAATGCGAAGTGTTTGAAGTTTTCTACGTTTCCTTGGCTACCCCTGACTACCACGGACAGACACGTCCTCTCCTCCAATGAAAGGTACAGTACCTTGTGTACTTTCATTTATTTTGGGTTCTTTATAGTCATTAAGTCTGGTAGGAACTACTACATATTTTCATCTGGAAAAGATACCAGTGGTGGGAAAAGAAATGATGGCTTTATATACATGGTTCTCAGTGTTTCAGAAAAGCACACAAGAAAACGCGTAGTGGTTTTAAGTCAAGCAGCACATCTGGGTTCTTTCTTGTGACTTGAACCCATGATGTAGCCCTTCACAATGTATGTTACCTCTCTCTCTCTCTCTCTCTCTCTTTGTTTTTAAACTATCAATGGGGATAATTGATTTTCGGCTCTTTGGGTAGAATTAGGAAAAATGCAGCCTTTTCAAATTTAATATACAGCATTATTACTCTTATTATATGTAAATTAGACACTGTGGCCTGGTGCCAGTGGCTTACATCTATAATTCTAGCTACTCAGGAGACTGAGATGTGAGTATTGTGGTTCAAAGCCAACCCAGCCAGGGTATGTTACCTCTGTGGCCCGCTTCTCTGATGGACCATTCCTGGTAGCCTTCATTAAGTAAAACTAGAAGAATGGGTTATAAGTACTTCTTTCTTGGTAGACTGATTTTCAAACTATGGGCCCCATTTACCATGTTGAAAAGGTCTTATATAGTAGATATTAATTTGTTATTACCTGTAAAAGTAGGTATCTGATTATGTAGAAGTTTGAAGAATGATTTTTAATGTCCAGATTCACTTGGTGCAATGAATGTATGACAGATGCATTGTTTGTTTCTTTTAGATGGAGATTCTGAAATGCAAGACAAACCTGCTAGATACAGGGCCAGTGTAGGTGGATGTTAGACAATGGTCCTCTCGATGGCCCTTCTGCTACATCATTTTTTTGGGAAATGTATTCCTGGGAAAGACAGGGTGATAGTTTCTTTTTGATGGTGCATGGACTCAAAATGAGGAAAGGCGTTAGCTTTTGAGGTGTAGGTGAGCAAGGGCTATCTCCTTATGTGGACAGAAGTTGTGTCCTATCCTGATTCACCTATTGTGGGGAAGGCCATTAATCCACCTTATGCCTACAGAGTGACCTCTATACTTTCTGCTATTTTTCAATTATTTTGAGCACATTTCATTGAATTCTGTGACATGGGGCCTCTGTGATTTTGTAGCCTTATAGTATCTCCAGGTTCATTATGGTTAATAGTTCCTGCTCCTGAGGACAGTCTGTTGGAGGATTCAAAGTCATTGAATGATTGTATGGCAAATATAGGATGCTTCTCCTGGGAGTTGTTTATGGACCAGAGAAAAAATCTCAGACCGCTTCCCAGTGAACTTGCTGCATCACTTGAGAGCTCTGAGGGCTGGTAACAGTCAGTGTGTCATTAGGCTACATGATGTGTGTATGTGAGCATTTAATGTAAATACTGTGCTTTGCAGCTCTTTGAGAAGTAGTAATCACACTTTGATCTGGAACACCTGTGAACTTTTGAAGGACGTTATCATGCAAGATTTTCCCGCTGAGATTTTTCTTCAGAGGCCCAAAATTGTTCAGGTTAGTACCTTTGGTAATTGTTTTAGGTTTTGAAATAGAGAACATTTTGTAGTAGAATAGATTTTTCAGGCTAGAAGTTCTTGGAAAGAAAATCTGTATTACCATTAAAAAAATAAGGAAACATTCAGATATTTAAGCTGTTTATTTTCTGACTTACTTGACAGTCTTTCCAGAATACATTCACTTCTGGGACCTGTTGTGAAGCTTGCCCACCTTGAGCTGCTATTTGTGGATCCTTAGAAGGGATCAATAGAAGGTTGTATAAATAATGTGTATTAGCAGTAAGAATGGCATCAGTATTTAAGCATCTTGTGTATTTACAGTCTAATTTTCACAGCTGGGGAATACATCATTTGTGATTGCCTCTCCGGTAGAGAGAGAACCAGGGTGAGGAAGTAATAGCAGAGAAAGGCTGTTAGTTACCAAAACATGATTAAGATGTGTGAGGTGAGAGGACTTGTTACGGTAGTTTTTTGTTTTATTATGTTTTTTGTGAAGTTCTGTGTAATGTAATATCCTGAATGGGAGTAATTCCTGTCTTCCTCCAGAATGGGTGCTTAGCTAACAGAGTTTAGAGTTGGGAAACACTGACTGTTCTACTTTGTATTTTATTTTTTTAAGCTGAGGATCTTGCTCTATTGCTCTGCTGCCTTGGATTTGTGGGTTCGAGTGGGACAGGGATGCCCCCCTCCGCCTCCCCTGGGCGGGGATAATGGACACGCGCTACCTCCTGTCTTACCAAACTGTATTCTGTTAACTGAACTCTGTTTTGCATTCTTCTGAGTTGTTTTGAGCTCATACTTTGTTTTCTCCTGTCTTCTCAGTATTTTACGACTCATTTTATTGTTTAGTTGCACTTTCTAAGTTTGGTGTTCCTTGAAATTGAGCAGTTTGTTTTCGCCACTCTCGGTTTCAGAGCCTTTTGTCCCTGTTGAAGCTGGCCTTCGGAGGAGATGGCAAGCACCGCCTGGCGCTGCAGTCAGTGTCCTGCTTGCAGCAGCTGTGCATCTGTTTAAGAAATAGACTTAACTTTCACCGAGACCCACATTTTTTCTCTAATAAACAAGGTACTAGTCTCCATTTCTTCTGTACCCATTGTTGGTCCCCTGATAACTGCCTATCATGCTTTGGGATTGTGTTCTCTGTTTCTACAACATAAGCTTCCACTCCTACATGTACTTAATTCTCAAATAGAAAGTAGATAAACGATGGAACCACCACAAACCTGTGTTTTTTGTTTTTTTTGTTGTGGGGTTTGAACTGAAAGCCTGGGTTCTGTCCCTAAATTTTTTGTTTAGTTTCATTTCTGGTTTTTTGTGGTTAATTGGAGATAAGAGTCTTATGTACTTTCCTGACTGGGCTGGCTTCCAACCATGATCCTCACATCTCAGCCTTCTGAGTAGCTATGATTACAGGCATGAGAGGAACATTTACAAACTCTACCCTATTCCTCTAGACTGTAGAGATTTTCTGTATAGAGTGGTATTGGGTCTTAAAGACTAGAATATGAAAGTGGTTCTTCATGTAGTAATTGGAAAAGCTTACTAAGCTATCTATTTATCTCTATCTATCTATCTATCTATCTATCTATCTACCTACCTACCTATGTTTTCTTTCTTTTTTTTTTTTTCATACTCTTACCCATCTTTCTTGCTCATTGCTGACACTCTACTAAACCACATCTCCAGTCCTACTGATTTGTATTTTACCAAAACTGTTTTATCAGCGAGGCATGGTGATACATGCCTTTAATCTGCTACTCTGGAGATGCAAGCAAGATGATCTCAACGATTTGAGGCTAACTTAGGCAAAGTAATGAGACCCTCCTCCCATCTCATGGAAGAAAGGCTAGGGGTGTAGCTTAAGTGGTAGAGTTACTTTCATAGCATGTGCACAACCCTAGGCTTAATACCTAGTACTTATGAAACAAACCAAACCAAAAAAAAATCAGTTTTTATGTAACTTGTGATGTAGTTGGACTAGTATGTGATGACACTGCCAAAGTATTCAGGAAAATGTGCCACTTAATGGCCAAGTAGAATATTGGATTGACCTGGACAGAATGGTATCTGAAATTTATGATATATTTGCATTGGAAGATGAATTTCAAGTTATAACCATTTGTCATTATGTTTCAGCTAATCCATTTCATCACAAGTTCATGCTGTTTCTATGTTTCGTCAGTATTTATTCTTTACATTGACTTACTGTCAATTCAGAGCATGTGGATTTCCTCATTCTTACTTGAGCTATAGAATTCAGTAAATGACTTGTATCATTGCTCTTGGTACCCCCCCACTGCAACAGGAAGAATGCTAGTCTTGATGAAAATAGTCAGCAAGTCTGAAGATTGATTCACGTATTAATACTTACCTTTCACGTACTGTATGCCAGCTGATAATGTACGCTGCCTCTGGGGAGGTATAACATGAAACCAAAAGTTAAAGCCCTCAGACTTACGAACTTACATTTTAGGTAGCTGAGGCAAGGTCATGGACAATCAAATTTGTTCAGGTAAGAAGCACTCTAAGGAGGTAAGAAGGGTCCTGGGAGCACATAGCAGGTGCCACGGCTTTTGTAATGGGGTTGTCGGGGAGAGCACTTCAGAGGAGGAGGCCTAGGGTGACTGGGCCGCCACTTGAAGAGCTGCAAGAAGAGCTTTCCAAGGAAGGCCAGAGGTCCCAGGCAGCAGTGACATGAATAGGAACTAGGTCTTCACAGGGTTGTACAGGAAGCCAGCAGGCAGGTGGAAGCAGGGGACGTCGGTCTTGGGAAGGATTTCGTATTTTCTTTGAAATATTGTGAGAAGCTCTTGGAGAATTATTATTATTATTTGTTTTTTTGCTGCTCCTGAGGCTTGAACTCTGGGCCTGGGTGCTGTCCCTGAACTCCTTTTGCTCAAGTTAGGGTTCTACCACTTGGGCCACAGCACCCTTCTGGCTTTTTTGTGATTTTAATTGGAGATAAGAGTCTCACAGTAGGAAGGGGTAACAACAAGTTTGACAAGAAATGTATTCATTATCTTACGTTACTGTAACCCCTCTGTACGTTACCTTGACAATTGAAAAAAAATGTCTCACAGATTTTTTTTGCCAGGCTAGCTTTGAACTGTGGTCCTCAGGTCTCAGCCTCTTGAATAGCTAGGATTATAGGCATGAGCTACCAAAGCCTGGTTTGCATTTCTATTTAAAAAGTTTTTAAAATTGTCTTTATAAAGGTGATTCTCTTGTCCTTTTTTTTTTTTTTTGGTTGGTCATGGGACTTGGATTCTGGGCCTAGGCACTGTCCCTCAGCTCTTCATCTTGAAGCTAGCACTTTACCATTTGAGCCACAGTGCCAGTTGCTGTTTTCTAAGTGTTTTATTGGAGATAAAAATCTCATGGATTTTCCTGCCTGGGCTGGCTTTGAACTGATCCTTAGATCTCAGCCTCCTGAGTAGCTAGGATTACAGGCATAAATCACTGGCGCCCGGCTCTCTTGTCTTTTTAATCCAAACCATTCAACTGGCTAGTGTTGTGGTTGTGGTTATGTGTCTAGGGAGTCCCCAATGATTTTTCTTCTGTGCTGTCAGCTGTCTATCTTCTCTGGAGAAATTTCTATTAAAGTCCTTAGCCCCCTTTCTAATTGTGTTGTCTCTTCACTTTTGAGATCTGGCAATTATCTGTATCCTTTGAGTATGGAGCCTTTACTAGGTATAAAGATTTGTAAATATTTTCCATTTTTTAGGGCGTCTACACTTTCTGGATAATGTCCTTTGAAAGATATTAAATTTGATGAAGTCTAGTTTTTCTGTGTTTTCTCTGGTAGTTTTGTTTTCATGCCTAAAAATCCCTTGCTAATACATTAAAGATTTACATTAGTTTTATATTAAGAACATTATGATTTTAGCTTTTATGTTGTTGGTCTACTTTGATTAGTATTACCATGTCATTTGATGTAGGGGTTGTAAGAGTTTAAAGCAAAGGGCTGCACGATAGAGTATTAGTGATGTGTAATGATGCAATAAATACCATTGGCCAGAAATTTCCATGACCTGAATGTGCTCTGTACATGCTTGCTAAACATTTTGATCAAAACTATTGTTTCTACCTGTGCAGAAGCATGTCAGCTATCTTAAATTTTGAAGAAAGACACATGTATACTATGTAATCTGAAGTCAGTTTGTACTTAGGGATAATTTTGTTTATTTATTTTCTCAGATACAATTTCCCAGAATTCTTCCTTGTCTTACTGTCATGAAGCACGAGGTACTCATCAGTCCCAGAACCTGTCCCCAGGAAGCAGCAGCCCCCGGCCTTCTGTGGTTGGGCGCACAGGCCAGCGCCCCAGGGGAGATGGCCAGGATTGGGATGCAGTGTCCTCCAGGTGACTGGCGTTGGGGTCTGGGGAGATAAGAAGGGCTTCACACATATGGGATTTAATTTCAGAGGAGATGATTCCTCTCTGTTGTTCTTTGAAACATTATCTGTTGTCTAGGCCTGTATGAAACCACTGGCTCTCCTACTTTTTGATTATCTTCTACTATGAAAGCGAATAGATACCTCATGCAACTCAGCGCTCAGTACTCATCCTCAGTATATCCACTCAGACGCGTGTTCACAGGACCTCCCCATTCTCTTCACATCATGTTACTATTCGAATACACCTTAAAAAATGAATCAGATTCCCTAAATGTTTCCTACCAACCAGCCATAAATGGGATATGATATAGTCTAAAAAAGCATTGCTTTAAATGATAATTTCTTTCTTTCTTTCTTTCTTTCCTTTTTTTGTCAGTCGTGGGGCTTGAACTCTGGGCTTGGGCGCTGTCCCTCAGCTCTTCAGCTCAAGGCGAGCACTTTACCCCTTGAGCCACAGCACCACTTCCTGTTTTCTGGTGATTAATTGGAGATAAGAGTCTCATGGACTTTCCTGCCCAGGCAGGCTTTGAACTGCAATCCTCAGATCTCAGCCTCCTAAG